TGTGTGTGTGCGTGTTTAGCGCAAAGTTGGACCATTGTTTGCAACAAACAAAGTGTTCAGTTCTTTGACATTAACTCCACGTTTCTGCGTTTGTTCGAGTTTATAACAATAGATTTTTTTTCATATTATGACAATGGGATTGTGAGGTTGACAAGTTCTAAACTATAGATTGTCATAAAAATCTTTCTTCACGAGTCACAAAATCAATACCCTGAGTTTCCAAGCTTGTTGCAAGTAAAGCTTTTAAAGACATCCACGGACAATAGTTATCCGGTGACAGGAGGGTGATTTGGTGTGGTCTGCTTCAACAAATTCTTTGTAGTGTTTCTATTTCTCAAACCTATTTCTTTGTTGTGTTTCTATTTCTCAAATCCTTTTTTTTTGGCTGTGTTTCTCTTTCTCAAATCTATTTCTTTGTTGTGTTTCTATTTCTCAAATCTATTTCTTTGTTATGTTTCTATTTCTCAAATCTATTTCAAGTGAAACACACCTGCGTCTATGATGTAGCGGCTAGCACTTCACTGTCGAACACAGACGACTTTAGTTCGATTTCCGAGTGTGAGAGAATTTTTATAGAATGTTTCGATTTTCCTGCTGAGATGTTGTATCCCTCTTAGCTTATGTTGACCCTGACAGGTATGGTCGAAGCCCGCCTTCTTTAATGATCTAAATTGTGCTTTTGGAGGCATAAAACACTTACAAAACCAAAAAATACCAAATGAAGTGCAATCAGTATCATTCAGGTATGAGGTAAACTAACTTATGTGGGTGGTTGGGGGTGCTCTGGTGCGGTTTGCTCCTTCTTTCCTATCAAACATCTATCGTCTTTATCTCCTCTCCTTTTTGTGTTTGTTACTTTCCTGTAACACCTCTGACGTTCGGCAATTATATGACCTTATTGTGTTGCAAGTGCCCTAAAACACTTACTAAAACTCAACTAACTTATCAATAGTGTGAACAATTCTACGAAAGTCACTAAGAAGTTTTTGGTTACATGTAGGGCCGACAAGCTACTTCTCACGCCTGGTTGCAGAGCCCCTCTATTAGTATTAGGTTCTACAACTTTACACTCCCTCTTTTATTTCTGTTTTTCTAGCTCTTTTCCAATCGGTTTTTTTGTCAATCTTTACCCTGCGGGTAGTCGGAAGGTGTCACCGGTAGTTCCTACTTCTTTCCTATCCTGTTCTCACCCCCTAGTCCCGGGTCCCAGGTGTATATCCCCCCTCTTCTCCCCCCCTCTCTCTCTCTCTCTCTCTCTCTCTCTCTCTCTCTCTCTCTCTCTCTCTCTCTCTCTCTCTCTTTCTCTCCTCTCATTCACTCTCTTTCATTCCCTGCACTAAATGGCCGTTACTGTTTCCATAATATGCTTGTCTTTACCCAAACTCAAACATCAAATCTTTACTCAAGCTTAGCAGGTGGTTGGGGTTCGCCACTGGTAAATCCTACTTCTTTACTTTCCCTCTGTTATTTCTGTCTGTCCGTCAGTCTTACTTTTTTCCACCACTAAAATTAATGACCGTTATTGTGCTGATGTGCTTCTCTTTACTCAAACAAACAAAACAAACAAACAAACTCAAGCTTGTGAGTGGTTGGCGGTGCTCTTGTGTGGTTTGTTTCTTCTTTCCTATCAAACACCTATCATCCTTACCCTGTGCTTCTCTTTTTTAAAGTTTTCCTCTTCTTTTTTAAGTTTATTACTCTCTTGTAACAGCTCTAATCTTCAGGCGCTCATATGACCTTATGCAGTTGCGAGTGCCGTAAAACACTTACTAAAACTAAACTAAAACAAACTGAAGCTTAACTAAATTATTTCTCGTTTCAGGAGGATCGCGTTCTAAGCTGTTGGAGACCAAACACACCCCGTACTACCACAACAGCGAGTTCACTACCCACAGACGACCAGAACGCTCCAAGAGCGACGCTCAGGAAAGCCGGTCCCGCCGACCGGAAGTGAGGAAAGATTCCAGCCGGAAGTACCGGTCCCCGTCCAACGACAGCAGGCAGAACCAAATGCGATCTTCCTCCCGGGAGAACTCTATCCGCTCCAGTGTGATGGGCGAGCAGCGGGTAACTCGCACCGTGGATTCGCCAGAAAGACCCCGGCTAGTCACTACAGTGTCCGAGCAAGACATGCCTAGTGTACACGTCAACCGAGCTTTCTCTCCAGACACCGGGGAAATCGTTCGCGGCTCCTCGACCAGAACCAGATCTTCCACAAACGCGACTGACCGTTCGGTGACGGCTTCTGTGTCGTCTGGGAAGACGTCCCAGGCCCCTCTGGCTAACGGCTCGCCTGGGATGGTGTCGGCTACCGTGATTTCTGGGAACAACAGCAGCAGGAGTGGCGGGAGTGACCGCGGCCTCTCAACGTCTGCGACCGACAGTATGAAGCTGCTGGCTAAGAACAAAACGGATGACCAGAAGACGAGTGTTCCGGGTATGGTTTCAGTCAGGGTGGAGAAAAATGGCCCAGTTCCAGCAACTTCGTCGACTCAGGAGAATAAGAATGCCGACCCAAGTCATTACATCAACAAAGAGGATGTCTACTCTATTCCACATAAAGCGAAAGTATTGGCTGAAGATGAAGAGGATGACAATCCAATTATCACTCGTATGAAGGAAATGGTGATAGAAAAGTCGCGATCGAGCAGTAACCCTTCATCTCCCAGAGACGTCCCACCCACCATGAGTAACCAAATAGCCACACTTAATTCTTCCCACGAGAAAGAAGGCCACGTAATACAAGAAATCACGACAGTCACAAAAGTGACCAGATCTGAGGTCATCGAGTCTGTGGTATCAGACGATAAGAACTCTTCCTCCGTTAATAATAAACCACCTAATTCAGGAACGAATGTTTTCGATGGTTTTGTTCTCCCAGAACTCGACGAACTAGAGAAAAAGTCCAGTAATGAGGATGGTATACCGAGAAGAGTTTCTGTGAAAGAAGACAAACCTCTAACAAACACAGAGAGTCTTTCTGTAAACGTATCGAGGGATGAAGTCAAAGACAAAAGCCCTAGTCCCGATGTCAGTCGAGTCAAAGAACCGTTGTCACCCCGCCTGAGTTCTGATGGAGAAGGCACCCACGAAGACCTCAGTAAAGCTGGTAGGACATTAATAATAATGAGAAGAAGAAGAAGAAGAAGAAGAAGAAGAAGAAGAAGAAGAAGAAGAAGAAGAAGAAGAAGAAGAAGAAGAAGAAGAAGAAGAAGAAGAA